TCTCTGCCTCTCTCTGTGTGCCTCTCATGAATAAATAAATAAAATCTTAAAAAAAGAAAAGAAATAGCCTAAGAACCCGCTCAGCATCTGCTACTACTGTCGTTAGACAAATCACCTGATCTCCCTGAACCACCTCCTCTCCCCAAGTGTTGTGGGGATCGGTGAAGGGGAAGAATTACTTCGTCAACTAGAAAACGCCGAGGAACCGAGGAATGGTGAAGAACGATTTCCGACTGCGAACCGCAAGTCTAAGTCCAGCATCTGTCCCAGAACCCCGAGACGCCGAAATGTGCCCTGGTCCCAAAGGGCCGGCCGTTATCTCACCTGCACAGCCGCAAACACAAACCGGAAAACCGAGGAGCCCCCGACAGCGCCTAAACCCAACGGCACGCCGCGCCCGCCCGGATCCACGCCGGAAACAAAGGCGGTTCTGCGCAGGCGCGACGCAGGAACAGTGGGAACAGTGGCCGCGCGATGCCTATCGGGATCGGTAGTTTTGCCGGAACTACCTCCAGCGACGGAGCTCGCGCAGCCGCGCAGCCTTCTGGGAGTTGTAGTTACAAGATTGTTTTGATCGTGACGCCATAGGTGGGCGGGGCGGCGGCGTCCTTGTTCGCGAAGCGGGCGAGCGGCGGGTAGGATGCGGTGACGCCCCGCGCGAGGCGGGGACCCGCCGAGGAGCCTATGGTTGCCGGGACGCGGCTGGGGCGGACTCTCGCCCCCGAGGTTCCAGCTCACCTGCAGCCCGGGAGAGAGCGGGGCGGGGGGAGGGGGAGGGGAGGCGGGTGGGCTCGCCGTCTGGGTCCCACGACCGTCGGCTTGCCTGGTCCACAAGCAAGGTCGGGGAATTAGCGGAATCCCTCGGAACCCCTCGTGGGACCTGGGGACGTCTGGGGGTAAGGCAGGTGGAGGAGGCCGGCCTGGGTGTCGTCCCCTCCCCGACAGCGCTTGGCACCGAAACGGCGTTGCAATTTATTTTTTCTTAATATTTTATTTATTTATTCATGAGAGACACAGGGAGAGAGAGAAGCAGGCTCCATGCAGGGAGCCCGACGCGGGACTCGACCCCGGGTCCCCAGGATCACACCCCGGGCAGAAGGCGGGGGCGCTCAACCGCGGAGCCACCCAGGCGTCCCTACAATTTGTTTTAATAAAACACTTAAACTTCCAAGAATTCCTTCCAGTCATTACCCTACGTCTCTCCTCCGGAGCGGGGATTTCTTTGGGGGGCTCGGTTTCCCTCCCTGAACTCCCAACAGTTGTACAAGGCCGCCCACCTACCCCGCAGGCAGCAGTTGGGGCCGCATCCATCAGCCTCGCGAGCTTGGGCTTTGGAATCTGTGCTCTGCTCGGCCACTTTCTCGCTGTGTGGCTTTGGGCAAATCAGGCTAACTCTCTGAGACCCAGTTTCTTGTCTGTAAAACAGGGATAATAACAGTACCCAACCTCTTAAAGTCGTTTTAAAGATTGCATGGATGACTCGTGTAAAGTCCTAAGCACAGCGTAACACAGTGTAACACAGCATCTGATGTTAGCTTTTGAGTTTTTATTATAGGTTGAGGAGGGGGAGCTCTTATAATGCCATCCACATGTACAGCAGTTTGAATTTTTTATTTTTTAAAAAGATTTTATTTGTTTATTCATGAGAGACAGAGAGAGAGGCAGAGGCACAGGCAGAGAGAGAAGCAGGCTCCATGCAGGGAGCCAGACGTGGGACTCGATTCCGGGTCTCCTGAATCATGCCCTGGGCTGCAAGCGGCACTAAACCGCTGAGCCATCCGAGCTGCCCAGTTTGAATTTTTTAAAGCCCTTTCCAGTATTTTCTTTCTCAGCCAACGTGTAAAGTCAGTTGTATGATCTCCCAATTTCAGAGGAGGACGGAGACAGGGGAAGGGATTTGCCCAAGTTAGGACTCAAACTCAGGATTTGGGAGTCCGAGTCCAGTTAACATGATAGCAAACAGGTAGTGTTAGATGCCAGGTACTGTTCAATGAGCTTTGCAGGTGTAAATTAATGTAATCCTCTCAGGAACCCTATGAAACACATACTATAATTGTCACCCCCTCTTTATAGATGAGTACTTTCTTCAGTCCGGCTCTCATGGTTACTTGGGATCAAGAAGCCTGGGACAATTTTCTGGGTTGCCTCTTTCACACCCACTCTTACCTTCGCACTCATTCTGTCAGCAGGCAGTGCCATCCTCACTTTCTACGGCTTAGTCCTTGATGGTTTGCTTTAATTCATTCGTTCACCACACATGCGTTAGTTCTCCTGTGAACTCTCAGGTATCCTGTAACCATTCACCATCCTTCAAAAATTAAGTTCCAGGCTTCTGTTTGCAAATTCCCTCCCTGAATGAGCTCAGCCTCTCCTCTTTCCCCGCAATCTATTTCCCTGATCTCTTTCTTCACCTCCACACTCTCTCCCTTGAGGCAATTTCTCCCAATTATCTGAAGGTCATCTTTATTTGGCTTATTTGTGCAGCCATCTCAAGCTGAATTTAGGGAAAAGAAACCTCTCCCCGCCTTTAGACTATCTCCCATTTCACTTATTTTTAAAAATTAATGTCTACCTTCAATATGGGACTCTGACTCACAGAGCCGAGATCAGGAGTCCCATACTTCACCTAGTGAGCCAGTCAAGGCGTCCCTCCAACTCACTTCTTTTTTTTTTTTTTTTATGATTGTCACAGAGAGAGAGAGAGAGAGAGGCAGAGACACAGGCAGAGGGAGAAGCAGGCTCCATGCACTGGGAGCCCGACGACGTGAGATTCAATCCTGGGTCTCCAGGATCGTGCCCTGGGCCAAAGGCAGGCAGGCCCCAAACCGCTGCGCCACCCAGGGATCCCCTCCAACTCACTTCTTAAACAGAGTGAGGGCACAGTATTTACAGCATCTAGGCTTGCCTGCACTCCTTTTCTCCCTTGTCATCTTACACCAAGCATTCCTGCCATCACCACCACCCCCCAAAGAAGACTGTCCTCATGTCTTTTTCATTCTCACCAGCTAAAACCTTGATCATTTTCTTCCTGAGTTAAATTAATTGGCATCCCCTTTCTGCTTCCAAACTTTCCATCCTTGCCTTAAGAACTACTCACCTACATTTTTTCCCACTTCCCATTGTTTTCCTCAAGAATAGTTCCTCAAATCCCTCCTCCATTTACCTTTCCTCTCTCATCCACTGCCCATACAGAAACACTTCATTCTTTACCCAAGTCTCCCTCTTAGTTCCAAACCTCTGATGATATCACTCAAGGAACCTGCACTGTGTTTCAAAATTTATCTTCAACCCCAGAATCTTCCTTGGTTAAATCTTCAGAATTCCTTATATTTTTTTATACCCAGCTAGCAATGCTTCCCATGACCCACCATTGACCTATGCTTCCCTTCCTTACATGTGAAAAGAAAAATGACCCACGAGCTGTCCTCCCTGAGTACCTATCTTTGTCACACTTCATTTTCTAGATGGTAGCTAGCCTCCATTAGAAATTAGGGTTTTGGGGGCAGCCCGGGTGGCTCAGTGGTTTAGCACCTGCCATTGGCCCAGGGTGTGATCCTGGAGACCAGGGATCAAGTCCCACATCAGGCTTCCTGCATGGAGTCTGCTTCTCCCTCTGCCTGTGTCTCTGCCTGTCTCTCTCTCTCTTTCTCTCTCTCTGTGTGTGTCTCTCATGAATAAATATGAATAAATAAATAATCTGTTTTAAAAAATCCTTTAAAGAAATTGGGGGTTTTATCTTAGAGGATATGTTCTGTCCACATACTTCAGAGATATTCACAGGACAGCACTCCATGAGAAACGGAATCTGAGTCAAATGAAATATAATTGGAAGCTGATAGAAAAATAGCACCGAAACATAGAGGTTCTTCATAAGAAAGAGATTTGGTACACGTCTCTTGAGATATCAGAACTTAATAGTAAATCCTCTCTGGGTTTAAGGGTATTACGTGGAGAACACCGTTTTGAAGTAGCTACGGTTTACTAAGTGCTTATCACGTGCCAGGCACTTTTTAGGTGTTTACATGTTACCTCGCTTCACTCTCACATCTCCATGAGGTCAGTATCATGAGCTTCACTTAGCAGAAGAGGAAACCGAGCAGCACAAAAAGGATCAGTAAGTTCCCAGCGGTTCCTGGTGACTATACTGGCAGAGCTGCTATTCTAAGGTCTCTCTGAGACCAGCGCCAGACACTTGGACCACGTCTGAAGATGCAGCTCCACTGCCGGTGTGTGATCATCTTCCGTCGGGAAGCTCTGCGCTAGGCACTGCAGTCCCGGGATGCAGACAGGAGTTGCCCAAAGGACCTTTCTCAAAGTTTACAGCCCGGTGGAGAAGCTTACGTAATGTGGGCGTCTCTGTTCACGAAGCACAAGGAACGTGGAGGTAGCTGAGAAGAGGTGCCTGCTCGAGAGAGGTCAGACTCCATCTAGGAGTCCTTCAGGGGCATCACGCTGAGGCTCTGAGGCTTGGAAGCGCCCAGTTCAAGCTTAGGGGCACAGTTGGCCCCGTGTGACAATTAATATGTCTTCCTTTTCCCTGCGTCAGGGCTGGCATCCGAGCTGAGATGGGGAACGTATCATCTTGGATGTGTGTGCACACGCCTGACTCTGCATCCATCTCTCACTGTCACCGCCTGGCCGCCTCCCTTCCTCCAGCCCTGCCGCCCCTGCTCCATCCTTGCCCAGCCCCATCCTTTCCCCAGGTTCCTTCCGTCTCCTTGGCCACACTGCCTTCTCCTCAGCAACCAGCCTCTCCTCTAGCATCCCGCCTCCCCGGCCGGCTGGCCCTCTGCTCCCACCCCCCTGCACCCTTCTCTAGACCCATCCCTCGATGCCTGCCCCCTCCCTTCCTGCCGACCCGCCTCCTGTGTCTCCCAGCCCTGCTCTGACGTGGGAGGTGAGGGGGTGGGGGGACGGATGACTCACAGTGTTATGATGCAGTTCCACAACACACAGCTACATTCACCCACAGACCGGGGTACAGACGAGAGACAACCTCTGGCCCCCCAGCAGCTGGCCAGCTTGGCAACCCCAGGCCCGAGCCCCTAACTCCCCTCCCCCGCCCCCGTCCCCTTCCCCATTGAAGGAGCGGAAAGAGAAGAGAGAAGAGTGAGCAGAGAGATTGAGAGATTGAGAGAGAGAGAGAGAGATAGACGGAGATCTCTGGAGCAGACCTCAAGGTGAGGGGGCAGCCCTTCTCCAAATGAATTTTTTTCCCCTTTGCAAATTTCCTCCTCCTGCTGCGTGTTGCTTTCTCCCCATCGCAAAAGCATTATTCATCCACCCTTTGTCCTCCCTTCCCCCTCCCCGCTGCCTCGGCTCCTCTCTCAGCTCCTCCATCCCTCTCCGAGCTCTGACGGTTCCCGCACTTATTTCCCGGCAACTTTGGCTGCTGCATCAGGCCTCACTGGTTATTGTTTTGCTGCTGGTGCAGACCCCCGAAGCCCGCCCGCCCGGGGAGCTGGCTGCGCTGCTAATTATTTGGACTATACCATGCCGAGAACGCCAGCCTGGGGGGGGGGGAGGTGAAGCCTCGGAGCAGATGAGAAAATCACTGTGAGCAGGTGTCGTGTCCCCCCACCCCCAGCCACAGGATTCGCACCTGGTTCCTGGAGCCTCCTCCTGGGCACCTCTGCTGTCAGCGCTGGTTGCTCAGCACCCCCCCTCCCTACCCGCCAGCGCTCTCTCGCCCCCACCTCCCACGGTCCAGCCCCATCTCACTTGGGGGAACATCCTCTCCCTGGTGCTCAGGTTGCCTTTGTTTTTTTCTTCATTTGCCCAACTTGAATCTGCCTGTGATCTGAGCCCGGGAAGCAATGACCCCCTACTCCCCCTCCTGTGAGTGATTCTCTGGCCTTCTGGGCAGCCTCTCCTTGGCCTGATGGGGAAGGTGGGGAGAGAGAGGGAGGGAGGCGAGCTGCGGGCTGGAGAAGGAGCTGGAGAGCTGGGACCCAGTGCAAGCTCCCTGGCCGGTGCAGTAGGTGGAGCGCAGCAGAGGGGAACTCACAGGCAAAGTTGAAGGCAGACCTGGGAAGTGGGCGCTGAACGCTGGATGCTGGTGAGAAAGGCCCATCTCCTGTGGCCAGAGCCCAATGTCACCCTGAACTCAGCTCAAGGTGTCTTTCTAGGGCCCAACCAGGGGTAGAGGACCTCAAACTGAAGATGGGCTCTGTCTGGGGTTCTGCAGAGAGACTACATGGCCGGCCCAGGAAAGGCTGGAACAGCTGGGGCACAGGCGGCCACCGCATAGGACAGGACGAGAGCCTATGTGCCCTGGCCACTCGCAGCCACACTGCCTCTGCTCTGCTTAGTGGTCTTGCATTGCCGGAGCACCCACCTGGCACCTCTGAACCAGACTTGAGCTAAATCACCCATCACAGACCCAAAGGCACCATGGAGGAAAAGGCGGGACTTCACCCACTTATCAGAGCCAACAGATGACCCCTCCCTTCTTTATCTGCTGCCTCTAGCACCCTCAGCCACTTTGGGGCTGGAGTCTGGGCAGATAATGACATCTTCCTCGGCCTTCCTAATGAGAACCTAGCAATTTTATCTAATGTCACCCACAGAGTCACTGCTGTTGGTCCTTACCCCAGGAAGAAGGTGGAAACATGCTCTGCCTTGTACCCCAAAGCATAGGTTTGGAAAACAGGAGTCCCCCCACTTCTGCTCCTGCTGCCCGTTGCTCCCACAGCATACCACTTAGCCCCAGAATGCAGCCTTCCCCGACGTGATCCCCATTTCCCATTGCTTCCAGCTGTTAGAGTTGCCTGAAAGAAAGGTATTTTCTCTCCTAGGGCTGTATGTCCAAGTCTTTAACTGAGGCTAAGGCAACAGTGAGCAAGAGCAGTATATAGATCAAGGGGCTCAGAGGCTGAGAAAAGAGCCAGTTGCTGTTTCTGAGCTGGAATGAGTGGGCCAAAGTGCAGGGCTGGCAACGGGCCACGTCTGAGGTCTCTGGTAGCAAAGGAGACATCTATGAAATTCTAGTTCCCAGGATGCAGGACTTCAGCCCCCAGGAGAGGGCTGACTAGGGTGTGTGTGTGCCTGCCTTCTGGGCTGGCCTCCCCCCCCCCCCCCCCCCCCCGCCAAATCTGTGAAGGACCAATTGCATTGCAAATAGAGGCGCAGAAGAGAAAACCCGCCAGGCTTCCCCAACTTGTAAAAGGCTCTGAACCCGAGCCTGCCAGCACTTGTGGGATGCAGACCCTCACAAAAGGGCTGAAGCCCAGGAGAGGACACTCGCCGCCGATGACGTTGCTCCCATGGCAGCCTTGGTAGCAGCAGGCTGCTCTCGGTGGAGATCGGTAAAGACTCCTCCCGCCCCAGGAGGGACAGACACTGCGTCCCCGCCTGTGGCACCGGAGGCCTGGACCGGCCACCAGCAGAGCCGGGATTCCAGGGGCCTGAGAGACAGTGTGATGGCATGCTGAGGGTCTCCAAAGATCCCGTCTTCTCCATTCCCCCTGGGGAGGGGCTCCTCGGGAGGTCAAGACTCTCCTGATGCACTCTTTCCTCTTCACAGGTGACTTCCATTTCTATCTGGTTCACGTCTGGGGGGGCCCTGGCCGGGCAGCCCCCCCACATCTCTCCTGCCCTGAAACACGGCTCTAGCCAACCTGCTCCGCTGCTTCACCTGCGACCGTCTGTGTGGGGGCTGCACGGCGCCAGCCCCTCCGGCCCGCCAGGGCATCGTCCTCCAGCCGGTCATGCCCAGCTGCGACCCTGGCCCGGGCCCCGCCTGCCTCCCCGCCAAGACATTCCGCAGCTACCTGCCCCGTTGCCACCGCACCTACAGCTGCGTCCACTGCCGCGCACACCTGGCCAAACACGATGAGCTTATTTCCAAGGTACACCAGGTGGGGGACCGCCACTCCTCTCTTCTCTGTCCCACTGGGATCATCCAGACTCACCGAGGGGAGAGGCCACAAAGCCGTCCGCCCTCCTCACCCCTGGGGCATGCAGGCAGTGGGGCCCTCGGGCCACCCCGCAGTCACCGTCTGTCCTATGTCTCCACAGTCTTTCCAAGGGAGCCATGGCCGAGCCTACCTGTTTAACTCCGTGTGAGTCTCTCTCTCTCTTTGTGTATGTGCGCGTGCGTCTGAGTGTGGACAAAGGGGGTGAGCCATCAGCAGGTGGCCTTGCACCTTCAGCTTTTGCCTCTCCTTTCGCAAAGGGGTTCAGAAACTCAGTCGGCAGCTTGTGTCATGGAGAGTCTAGGCAGAACTGACTCCCCGGAGAGAGGAGGCCCAGCCACTAGTCCTGGGGGCCGGAGCGCTGCCGGCAGGGCTTCCAGGGGGCGGGTGGAGCACTCCCAGATGGAAGTTCCTTGGGGCTCTTTGGGGGCCCGAACTGGCAGAGCAACTCCACCGGTGCTGGGTCCTTCGTGTTTCCCGAGACAGGGTCAACGTGGGCTGCGGACCGGCTGAGCAGCGTCTCCTGCTCACGGGGCTCCACTCGGTAGCTGACATTTTCTGCGAGAGCTGCAAGACCACCCTGGGCTGGAAGTATGTAAGTACCCGGAGACGGGGCCGCCCTCTACGTGGACAGGTGCTGTGTGGCCCTCCGAGCCCCAGTGACCACTGCAGGGTGTTGCATGGTCCCGAAAGGCAAGAGGGAGCTGCTGGGTTGGACTGGGTGGCAGCCCCGGGGGCAGGGGTACACCAGGTAGGAGGAGGTGGGGATGTCTGTTTTGTCCTACATTCACTGCTTCCCCTCCACCAGGAGCAGGCTTTTGAAACGAGCCAGAAGTACAAGGAGGGGAAATACATCATTGAAATGTCGCACATGGTGAAGGACAACGGCTGGGACTGAGGGGCTCAGGCAGGCTGTGCCCTCCCTCCGCATGCCCACCCTCCCCACACCTGTCCCCTGGCCCTGCCAAGCAGTCCATACCAGCATGAGTACTGCCCCACCCCTGGGGGGAACCCAACTCCCACCACCCCTCCCCACCCCTTCCACCTCGTCACTCCTAGGTCCCTTGGGAACAGGGGCCCGGGGTACCCCAGGGGTGTTCAAGGCTCAGGGAGAGACAGATGGTCGTGGGTCCTTCTAACGCTGAGGTCCTGAGAATGGAGGTAATGGCAGGGTGTAAGGCAGGCAGAGGACCGTGGAAGGATCCGTGTTGGCCCTAACCTCTCTTCTGAGTGGAGGACAAGCCTTAGACACGGGGCTGGTAGGTCCCAGGCCATGGGAGTAGCAGATAAGAAGGGGCTGGTGTTGGAGTGAAATTTTGGCCTCAGACACCGTGAGACACCAGTCTCTGACGGTAAAGCTTCCCACCCCCGTTCGCAGGAGAAAGGATTCGGGGGTGGAAGGGAAAAAAAAAAAATCCCAGATCCCAAGCCCTGGGAAATAAAAGAATCACAGGGGTTTCCATTTCACTCCACTTGTTTGCTCATCTTGGCACTAAAGAGGCACTTTCGGAGTATCTACCCTTCGCCAGTGGGTGGGGTGGGCAAGCTGCTCCTGGGACACCCCCCACCCCGGTCGGCTGCTTCCAGAGCGAGCGGGCTTTCTGGGCATGCTGAGGCCCAGCCGCTGCTCCCGGGGCCACGGTCCCGTGGAGGGGAGGTGGGACAGCAGTACCACGGGGCCAGGCTTCCTCGTGGCTGCCACCAGCGAAAGAAACTTTTGTATGATACATAAAGTGTTTGGGTCTATTTTTAATAAAAAGGGGAAAAGCAACTGTGAGGCACTCTGTCCTCTTGACTTTCCCTCCCGAGCACCTTCAGTATACGGTCCTGTCACCAACCCCCTGGGGCCTGTCCCTTCGGGCCACTAGAGGGCAACAACTACTCCGTCCGTGCGGAGACCCCACTGGAGCTTTAGCCAGGGGATGGGTCTTCGGATGAGATTAGTTTAGTGAAGAGGTAACTTTTGTTGAGCGGTGTCCCAGCGGGAGCATCCAGGTCAGCTCCTCTTCCAGAGCCCTGGACAATGAACCCGGTTGTGCCAGGATCCAGGATGGGGTACCTGGAAAGGGGCTCATCCCTGAACCAGTGTATTCTTGGGTCCCACTGCCTTTCAGCCTGATTTTTTAAATGTTTGGGTTAGCTTGTGGCCACACAGAAGGCTGAACAGAAAATCGATCAACCAAGGTGCTGCCCTGGGCAGCAGGGACCAAGTGGAACGGAAGGGCTTAAAATCACAGCATCGGTGCCGTGTGACCCACGCGCAGTTCCTTGGCAGTGATGTGAAATTCTCACCGTTGTTTGCTGGGTCACAGACAACGGCAGGGTGGACTGTGCACATTATAGAAGTCTTTTTTTTGGGGGGGGGGTGTACACTAGCTTGTTATTCTGATTCATTCACTGGTACCGCAGATCTTTGTAGAGCACCTGTGACAGGCCAGGCTTTGTGTTCAGCACTAGGGATGCAATGATGAGCAAGGATGACTTCGGGGGACTTTCAGTCTGGCGGGAGGACAAAACAATAACCAGGCAAATCCAGGGCCAAGGGCCAAGGGCTCTGGGCAGTGGTGGTGGTAGGAAGGGTAGGCTCGGGAGCTCCTAGGAAAGGCTTAGCTTAGATTTGAGGCATCAAGGAAGACTTCAGTAGATTTCATAGAAGTGATGACTGATGGGAGGTAGAGGAGGAGCCATCAGGTGGGCACAGGGGGACAAAGGGAGGGGGCCTGATTCAGGCAGAGAAAACTGTGAGTCAAGTGGCTTGAGCTCAGTTATTTTGAGGAGGGAAGAGAAGTTTCCCAGAGCCAGAGTGGAAGTACCAGTGGGGGGGGGGGGGGGAGGAGAAAGAGAAAGAGAGAGAGAGAGAGAGAGAACACAGGAAAGACAGACCATTTGGGGATCTAGATTTCATCCCAAGGGTATTGGGAAAACACTGAAAAATTCTTGTTTTCTAATAAGAGGGGAGTGACATTATCAAATGGCTGTTTGTGCCCAAAGAGGCTCAAACAGAAATGTTAATATACCGAAGAAAGTAAGGGACATAAGCTAACTGTCAACATCTGAACGGAGAGGCTGTCTGGGCAGAAAGGCAGAAGGGAAGCCGAAGACCCAGAGATGCAAGAAGGCAAATGCAAGCCACGAAGGAATGATGCCCCACACCTCCGTGCCTCAGAGAAGTCTGTCCCATGGCTCAGGTTCCGCACGCCCACTGATGCCAGAGAGGCTGCTCTCAGGGTCCATCCAGCAAGAGACCTGAAATCCTAGCACTGAAGAGGAGGAAGGCTTCTCTTCTCAGACCCCAACGCTAACCCCGAAAAGCAGGCACAAATAAGCTACCTTCTTAAAGCTCCCCAAATCTGCCCTGCCCTCACAAATTCTGACTAAGCTACATACGTAGATACCGTGGGAAAGAGAAGAGGGGTAGAGAGTTCTTTGTAATCTCTCTGGAAGGAATCGTTTAGTGGCCTTGGACCCAGGGATCCGACTTAATTTTTAAGGTCAGGCCATGGACAGTACTTGTCCAAACCATGGATGCTCAGACAGGTGGGCCCTGGAGAAGCATCACTATGAAATCCCCTGTATGTCCCAGCGGGGTCACGCTGGGAACTACAGGTGAAGATGGGGTCTCCTTTCTGTGCCCTAATGCTAGAGGGACAGATCCTTGCCCCTGGTGAGGGTTAGCTCTTTTCCTTCACCGTGCACCCACTCTTTCTTGTGGAGGTCTTCAGTGACTCTCTCAACCTTCCCCATCTACCCTCTAACCCCAGGAACTCTTCTGAGACAAGCCACCACTTTTGTCCTTAAAGGTTTGAGGCTTTGGAAGATACCCTCATACAACCAGCAGGTGGCATCCAAACCCTCCAACCCCTCTGCTCAGGTGCCCTCTCCCTGGACCGAACCCACTCCACCCTCTCTCCAGATAGGTCCACAAAAAAATGGGAGAGCTGTCAGACTTAGGACAGGGTTCTATCTAGGCTCTGCAATTTAAGGACTGTATAACCGTGGCCGTGGTGCCTGTCTGGCTCTCAGTTTTTTCATCTGTCAAATGGGGTAGGTTACTTGCCAAGAAGCTATTCAGTCTCCCCACCAACTCTGAAGTGTCTAGCACGTGGAAGTGCTTCCGGACATGTGAGCTGTTAGTATGGCTACTAATAGGCTTCCCAGATGCTCACCAGGAGGACAGCTGATTGGCGCCCAGATGGGAGAGGAAGTCTTGATGCTGAGGAGGCAGCCGGCGCTGGGTAGCACTACGCGGCCAATGCCCTTTTAACATTGCACTGCTAGTGGTAGGTGCAGACAGTAGCACAATGTGAAAAGAGCTCCGGCCCGCAGCAGAGGCATGCCGGCCCTGCCTCCTCGCCCCTTCTCCCAGGCCCTGGCCCACTCAGCTCTCTTGGCCTCCCTCTGCCCCTTCTCATCCTGAGACTCCTGTCTTCCCATCTCAGGGCTAACCCTCTATTTCTTGTCCCCTTCCTCACACTCTTCCCAACAGACTACCTTTTTCTTAAGTTTTTTTTTTTTTTTTTTTTTTTTTTTGAGACAGGGTTCATGGAGAAAGGGATACATTGAGCTTACGGGGGACTGGTGGTAACCACACAAGTTTAGGGGACACTCACATGAAACTGTGTTCCCCTGGATGTGATCTGGGTCAGCTTCTCTTTTGGAGGAGCTTGCTGACCTGGACCACAGCACCCTCTATTCTTCCCTACTTGAAAGCTCCCTCCTTAGTTCAGATAAAGAGGAGTGCTAGGCCTCACGGGGACAACCTCAGATGTACGTCCAGGACCAGAGTGTGGAAGAGTATAGTCACAGGTCCCGGGAAACCCAGTGATGCTTCCAGGCCTAGAGGTGGAAGCTGCAGGGGAAGGCTCACCCTGCATCTCCCTCTGAGGTCTCCAAATCCACCGTATGGATTCAGCATGGAACGAAATTGTGAGGGCGAGTCCCCCTCTTGCAGTGAGCGTTAAGGGATGGGTTTTCACTGGCAGTGAAATCAGAATCTTAGCCGTTCCTGGTTTTATCCAGGGACTCTGTGGAGGGTTTTCAAGCTCACTCATAACTTCCCCCATTTTATCCTAGTCAAGGGGGCTTAAACACAGGATAAACAACCCTGAGACTCAAACCCCAAAGGCAGAAGACTGCCATGGAGGGACACCTGGAGAGCCAAAGGTGCAGAGCTCCAGCATGGCCTGATCCTGGCTAAAGCGCCTCTCTCAGAAGCCTAACTCCAGTTCTGGCCTGGTAAACTGTGCGAGCCCCAAAAGGGCAGAGGCTGCGTGTGTGGAGGGTGATTCCTCAGGCACACCCGTCAATGAAGGCCATCAATGAAGGCCTCCAGAGATGGAGCTGCCTCTGGGAGATGCCCTCCTCCCCATTCCACAGCCGGGGAGGCACACAGGGCAGGATTCCAGTTAGGAGCTCTTCCTCAGGGCTTCCCCTCCAGCTTCCTCCCACCCACCCCCACCCTCCCGGAAGCAGGAGAGGTCGCCCCCCGCCCCGCCCCGCCCCACAGTTTGCACAGTTGTAATGGCGGAAACCCAGGCCCCACTAGGGTCAGTCACCAGGTGTCGGGCGAGGCAGTCCCAGCTGGGAACTGGATCAGGCCAACAGGGAGCAGAGGAGTAAAGGCAGGGCGGCCCAGCCAGCTTCGGGGAGGCTGGTGGCAGACTATTCACCACGGAGCGCCCAGATCTCTCCCCGGGCAGAGCAGGGAGAGGGGGCTAGGGCCAAGATCCCCTCGGCTCTCACCCCCAACTCCTTCCAGAGCGGCCCCGCGATGCACCAGCCAGCAGGGCCCCTCCCCCACCTCGGGCCCAGGAGCCATCCCCCAGCTCCTTCCAGAGGCGGGTGCAGAGACCGAGGAGGAAATGGGGGAGGGGAGGCCCCGGCTCAAGTTCTCTCCACTCCCCCTCCTCATTGGCCACCATCTTCCGGCCCCTGCCCCCCGGAGCAGCAGGGGATGGGGCCCAGCCTGCGGAAGGGAGAGAAAGGGCAGGTGGAGGGTTAGCCCGAGCAGCAGGGGCAGGGGCCGGCCCCAACTGTCTCCTCCCACCCCCTCCCCGCAGCCATGGCGACGGGCGGAGGAGACCAGGAGGGTCCTGAGCGCCACGCTCGCGGAGCGGGCTGAGAGGGGCAGGGGGAAGTGCAGGGTGGGGGCTCTCTCCCGCAACACCCAGCCGTGCCCCCCGCACACACACGCCTCCGGGCTGGGCCACACACGCGCGCACACAAACTCCCTGCCCTACTTGCCACTCGGCTCAGCCCGCACGCCGCACTCCCCAGGCAGCAAGCCGTGGAGCGCGAGCCCCAGGACCCCCGATCCCGCCCCGCACCCCCGGATCCCGCACCCTGCGAGCTCCAGGGCCGGCCTCGCACCCGCTCGCAGCCACCCCGGCTCACCCCACAACTTCTCAGGATGCACAACTCCCGGCCGGCGCGGCCCTCCCCGCACACACCCCCACCCCCCCGCCGCCCGCACCGCGCCCGGGCACCGACGGACCGCCCGGCCTCGGCCCTGCCCCGCCGCACCCCCCGCCCCACCACACCCCCCGCTGGAAAATGACAGGGAAGCCGCCCCGCGAGCGTGCCCCGAGCTTCCCCGCTGCGGCCGTGGGCAGGGGAGGGCGGACCCAGAGGGATGCCCGCGCGTGGGGGAGGCAGGGGGGGCGCGGGAAGGCGAGAGAAAGAGCCCGGACCACCCCTCCCCGCCCGACACAGAACAAAACCGAAAACCGCCGGCGTTACCCTTCTGGGAGCTCCCGACACCCACACAGGCTCGTCGTTAGGCTCCTCTGCCCGCCACCTCCTTCTTCCCGGGCTCTTTCTCTGCCCTCCCCTCCCCGCGCCCCTCCCGGGCCTCGCCGGCCCCCGCCCGCGCCCCGCGCCCCGCGCCCGGCCCCGCCGCCCCGCCCCCGCCCGCCCCGCGCCCGCCGCCCGCCGCCCGCCCGCCCGGCCCGCCGCCCGCGCCTCCGCCCGGCTCGCTCTCGCCCCCTCGCCCCCTTTCTCCTTCCACACTCCCTGCCGTCCATCTTGAATACTTGGGATTCTTGAATGGAGTGAGCAGGATCCGCTCCCCCGGGCTCCCATTGGCTGCGGGTTAACCCTTTTGAAACGAGATCCTCCCTCCCATTGGCTGCCGGGCTCCCCTCTTCCCCCCCAACCCCCATCCCCTCCGCCTCCCGACAGCCGGCGGGGTCAGGGCGCTCCCGGGCGCCCCCTCCCCTGGCCCCTGGCCCCCTGCCCCCACCCGGGGCGCCCCCCCTTCCCGGCCCTTTCCGTCCCCCCCACCCCCCTCCCCGCAACACACCCGCCCGGGCTGCAGGTGGAGGCAGGTCCGCTTCCCGCCAAATGCGGCCCCAAGGCTGGGCTTGCAGAAGCCTTGCTCCCAGACGCCCCTTGTGCTGGACCTGGAGACCTTGTTAGGTGTCGGGGTGCGATTTCCTGCCCCCCCCCCGCAGCCCCCTCCTGCAGCAGAAGCGCCTCTCGAGCACGGAGTCCGCGCGGGAGGGCCGAGGGCTCGGAGCGACCCCGGCCGCCCCCCAGGCTGGGCAGGAAGAGGGCAGCTCCGGAAAGATCTGAGGCTCTTCAGAGAAGCTCATTCCCCGAGCGCCGCGGGGCAGGTCTGACCCTACCAGGAATGTGCAGCATCTGGAGCTCTGCGCGGTCACAAACAGCCCCTGGGACCAGCCCGGCCTGGCCCGCGTGCTGGGCCCACTAGGGGCTCTGAGTTGGGGGAGCCCAGAGAGGCCTGGGGGAGGGAGGCCGCGGGGGGCAGGGTAGG